ACATATGGATTACCTTCTTGTTGAATCATTGTCAATGGAAAAAATTTAGGTATACCACTAGCAATATTCATTTCTGATCGTGGTCGCTGAAAACTACTCGATCGAACATCTGGTCGAAAAGAATCGATGATATGTCGTTGTTGAGGAGTTTGATCATACAAACAGAAGGTGACCTTATAGTTGAATGGAAATTTTAGTATTGCATCATTTGGGCCACGCATAAGAACAAAAAACAATGACATATGTGTACGTCGAGCATTGCCATCACCATTAAGATAAAGTCGAGCTCTCATTTTATAGCCAGTTGGTGACGAATAGAATGGAGGTGAATAAATTGATGTTTGTCGCTCTGATTGTGCATCAGCTAGAAACCAAACAAAATCAATAGTCACGAACGTATGATTAAAAAAAGGTATGGAGTTTCAAAATTCGATATCAAACTAAAAAGTGAATTCATTTGCTATGTCAATCGATCTCTTGTTTACTTCAGCTTTCATGTTCTTACACCTACTCAACTTCACCTTCCAGTGAGTAGCTTAAAATATTTATACATACCCAATTTATCTTGAATATTTGTAATTTTCCATACAAATGTCCCATCATAAGATATATATTGCATATCATCAATCTTCTCTTGAGATGACATTAAACTTTGATTGAGAACTTCTAAATTTCGTGTATTTGCTTCGTCAAAAACATGTTCCTCTTCAACAGCTAGTTTCATATTTGAAACATTTTCCACTAAATGTTGTAGATTATTTTCATATTCAACTGATTCAGTACTCAGTCGTTTTATATCTTCATTCAATGTTTCACTACCATTTGCTAAGATACTAATAGTTTCACGAAGTTCTTCCAATTGATTTATAGCAAAATTATCGTCTATCATTGTAGTTGTTCGAGGACTATCAGTATCCATTTGATTAGATGTCATTTGAGTATCTCTTAACTGTAATTTCATTTGTTGAATAACATTTACTATTGAATCTTGATGTTGTTTACTTTGATAATGATTTGCTAATTCACAACGAAGAATCTAAACAAGATAAGATATAGATTATATTCAAAATCTTTTTTTCTTATAGAAGATATAAACTTGTTGATTGCAACCAAAATGTTTTAATAAACATTCAATAGTAATCTTTCGACATAGAAATGTTTTATGTTGATTGAGTTGATTAACTGAAATGAATTGTTCATCACAATAGTTACACTTTGGATTGTGATGAGACTGATCAAGATGTTCCTTTGAAAGATAAAAATAGAAAATGCAAGAATGACATGCTATTGATTAATATTACTTGATAGTTTTTTAAGATATCAGTCCAATTACAATGTGAACATATGATAGGTAAAGATTGCATGTCCTTTTTGAAACCTGGATCAAGCATTATCTAAACAAGATCCGTATTAGATACATGATTAAATCGGAAAAATGATATTTTACTTGATCTCGTGGAGTTTCTGTGTGACATTGAGGACATTTGATTACAGTTCTTTGAATGATAATAATTTGATGCAAATAGTTTTCATTAATAATGAGACTTACTGATTCAGGGTAGCGAAGCAAGATTGACAGAATCGATGTCCACATGTATTCAGTTGAACTGGATCACATAATATAAATGAGCAAATAGTACAAATAAATTTTGTACCAAGAATATTCTTATTCTGAGCATCCATCAGAATCAATTACTATTTTACACGAAACCAAGATAGATTCGTATACTACTTTGGTCTGACACAAAAACGGATAACCTATTATCTAAAAAGAGAGTAGAAATCATATAGAAACACTTGTATTTCATCATTTATACAATGAGGATGTCGAAATGAATGGGAAAAATAGATGATTCTAGATATCGAAAAAAACGCATTTTTTATCGATAAGGTGTGGGTGTGAGGCACAGCCTTCTCTTCACTTACACACCCACCCTCTTTCATTATGCATCTGTTTATTTGATAGCGACACATGTAAATTTTTCGGTTTCCTTCTTTTTTTCGTTTGTATTACCCTATCCGTTTTTTTGCATGTAAGGGCTTCCGAGTATTACAATACAATGATTATAAACAAAAATAACCATACTGAAGTTGGGCATCAAAACTAACACTTTAGTGCCGGGCGTGGTATATATATCACTTCGAGTATAATGGATTTTCTCCTTGTGTTATCATACATTCATTATTGGAATTCTCTCCATACATTCCAATATGTTTACCTTTCATAAAATAGAGATATTGAAATGTATGAGGAGAGTCCCAATAAAGAATGCATGATAGCACAATCATGTATGTCAAGTATTTTTCTTCATCGAATGAAGAAAGAGAAGCCAATCAACCAGTTCTATTATCGTATAAAATAACTCTATGCTTGCTTGAAAAATTGCATCATTTCAAATTTCATTTCATGGTATGTATTAACTTAAATAAATATTAGATACTTGCTTTGTTTTTATATACGTTGCTGGTTAAATACAATTTCATCCATTCATTTCAATAGTCCTACATAAGCAGGTTTGATGCTTTTATATTATCACGGATGATTTCGAATATGACTCATTCGGAAGAAACAAAAAAGACATGATTCACTAATAATTAGTGCTAGGAAATTTCAGCCTAAATCAAAACCAAAATGATAAATATAATTCGCTGTAACAGAAGGTGTTGATATGGGGTGAGGTGAGGGTTTTCTCTTGAAATATTACAAATGACACCAGATGATTTTCTAATTCCATTGAAATTGCGCAATACGATGCTAAAATACTTTGAATGTCATTGATCGAGCAAATCAATAATTTAAGAAAACAGAGCAATTATGTCTACGGTTGTGTTCGATGATTATCTTCTTGAAAATTTTTAATGATCTGTGTACTAGAACGAATTCTCTTTATTTTTGATTTCTAATATAAGACCTATTGTATTTTGATTCACTTGTTTTGAAAATCAGAAAAAGCTGAAAAATGGACCTTGTAACTTTGATTTATATGAAAATTCTATCAATTTGTATCAATATACTTTTAAAGAACGTTCGCAACTCATCGTTTGATTATCTTGAAATACAAAAAAAACACAAATACCACTAAAGATCTATAGATGCATAGTACCAATACGATTACGATGTTTTGATCTCTCTTTCCAACAAATATATTCTGCTTTTCCGTTCTTGGAATCTTCACGAAACAAAATGTGAACTTTCGTTGTGTAGGTCGAAAAAGAACAGAAACTTTTCGTTGATCTACGTCAATGTTGCGCTTCGCATCGTGTCAAACAAATTCTACGAAAATATACTCACCTGTTATGATACAAATCTGTCAAATGCTAGAAAGAGTCATACTCACTTTTTGATGATGAATGCAACAAAATATACTGATATCATTGACTTCCCCGAATTTCGCCAAGATATCACTGGACTCTCGCCAACTGGCGAATATCCATCGAACCTTCGTCATTGATGAATATCCAGTTGGCGAAAGTCTTATTGGCGAAATTTGAGAACCCCATGTCGTTATCAGTATGCTTGTTTATGTACTTTTAAGATCATTCATCTTTCTCTTCATTGGTGCACATATGATTTTGCATTTTTCTTTTGTATGAATAATATTGGCAACTTTTGAATGATTGTGATGTCACATGAATCAAGTTTTCTCGTTCTTATTCATATAAAGGGTGTTTCATAATAACTGACGATAGATTGTTAATGATATTTTTCATACCTTTTCTTGACATAGAGTGCTGAAATTTTTATGACATACATATCTAATCAAGATCTTGTTTACCTGAAAGTTTCAGCTTTCTAGCTAAACCTAGTAGTGAAATGCATCATCAAGACTGAAATATATAAATTTTTGTACTCGATTTTTGCAATATTTTGACTGTGAAAATTTTGCATGGTAGTTTCATGGGTAGTCGACCAAAAAATCATATAGTATTCAAAATAATTTTCTTTCGTATCAGATTTGGTACAGTTTTTTTTCGCTGAACATTTTGATAAAAAAACTTTTCAAATTTCTCTGAGAAATGACGATGTTATAGTCAAAATACTAAACACTGTAAAATAGCTTAAAATGTAAGGATAAGTCGATGTACATATCTCAAAATGGCTATACTTTGGAGAAATGTGACATAGTAGGTTTTGTAGAGGAAAGTTTGTTCTACAAAACTCTATATTCGGTTTCTCAGATACAGGCGATTAGGATGAATAAATCTCAATTGAACCTTATACCCGATATTCGTATCAAAAAAATCTGACATCTTCTGCTTTTACGATAAATATTTTGACTATAACATCATCATTTCTCACTGAAATTCGAAAAGTTTTTTTAACAAAATGATAAGCAAAAAAAGCTCTACAAATTCTGGTACGAAAGAAAATTTTCTGAATACTTTTTGATTTTTTAGTTAACTACTCGTGGAACTACCCTGCAATATTGAGTACGAAAATTTACATATTTCAATCTTGTCGCTGCATTTCACTACTAGGTTTACCTAGAAAGCTGAAACTTTCAGGTATACAAGATCTTGATTAGATATGTATGTCATAAAAATTTCAGCACTCTATGTCAAGGAAAGGTATGAAAAATATCATTAACAATCTATCGTCAGTTATTATGAAACACCCTTTAGATGTTGCATCAGTTTTCTTTTATGAATGCAAGAGAATATTGTCTCGACCACGCTATTATTTATATGTCAATAAAAAAAAAACATATCGGCAGAATCCATAAGAATAACTTTTTGCTTCGAATGAAACTTTGAAAATGAATCGAGAGAAGATGGTCGCTTCCGTACCTATATTGGATTTATTCTGAAAACAATATTATTCACTTGTTTGTATCATATACTTGAGAAAAAGAAAACAGTTCCTTTGATGATCGAATGTATGGATAATCTTTTCTATAACCATGAAGTATTTACTTTCTTCTAGTTAAATATGTGTAGTCTGTTTTGAATTTTCTTCATGACGTTTGACTTTTCACAAAATTATTTTGTTCGGGTTCTTTAATTTTTCTATAATAAATACTTACAGAAAAACCTGAGACAAAACCTAGATTAAACTATATGAGTTTTGGCGAAAAATGACAAAATGTAACGACAATCAAAATTTTCACAAAGAAGAAAAAAAAACACCAGCTTAAAAAAAACTCAACGAATCAAACACATAAGACTGATTTTTAAACAAAGCTAACAAGCTAGTGTTCTAAACTAGTTCTTACTATAGGGAATACAATGTGGTATCATCGTAACTGAAGTTTTAACATAAAAAATTTCAAGAATATAATTTATTTTTGTTGAAAATACAATTGAAAAGCGAACTGATCAAACAAAATACAAAAACGATAAATGAATGATTTAACCAAAAAAGAAAATAAATTAGTAATTTCAAGTAATTACGACAATTTAGGAAATATTATCATTCGAGTCTAGAACGTTCGAGTTTCGAAAGACTTTAGCTTACAAAATCTATGTACTTAATAATTTCTTTTCATTTTGAATCTCTTTTAATCAATAAAACGCTTTGCTCTCTAAGGAAGGTGTTCATAATTGTTTAACCTAGTTGTTTATAAAACAGTACAAATTTCATCATTGATGAAGACTTGGAGTTGAATTTATAAAAATTAATAAGTTTTATTTCATATATCGAAATAGAGAAACAAAGATAACCATGATTAAGTTGATTATATTTGTTTATTATCTAACATATCAGCTCCTACTTGGAACTGGTACTAGACCTATCAGTCATCACTGTCCTTTTCCCTGAACTTAACGAATTCTATGGCTTTCATGACCAACAGATATAAGTCTGTAAGTTTCTAGCTGATAAATTTCTGTTCATCGTCTGAATTCCAGCCATAAATATTGAGATAATACATTCTTATCGAACAATGCAGGATGTGGGTCATACTGAATGAGTTAATTAAGCTCACAAACAGTTTGCTAGATGCGAGAAGTTAATTTCGATCAAACTTAAAGATCTTTCATCTCAAAATTGCGAGCGCACTTTTATGAACTATATGTAACTGACTTTCATAAAAGCCCAATAGTTAGTAGTTTTTAATATGCTTCCATTACAAAATAATCACTAAAAATTGTGTTTTATCGTCAAGATCATGTAACTACTAGCACGATATTACTGTGAAAATATTTAGATACTAAGAAATTTCAAGATAGGAAGCCTAGTATAAAAATTGGACGTTTTAGCTCATCTTATATTTTTGTCGGCAACGGTACATTTTCACGAATTGAGATGATTCTCACTGGTATTAAATAGTTATTGCAACAATATTAGTTCCTACAGGAGATGTTTTGAAAGAGTTCTACATTCATTCTTAATGTTAGTACATATGAAATGTGACAAGCGAATACAGAAGTTTTACTATTAGAAACCCCAAGA